CAGGCTGATCCCAGGCTGATTCCCAGGCTGATCCCAGGCTGATTCCCAGGTAAATTCTAGGCTGATCCCAGGCTGATTCCCAGGCAAATTCTAGGCTGATTCCCAGACTGATTCCAGGCTGATTCCCAGGTTGATTCCAGGATGATTCCCCAGCTGACTCCCAGGCTGATTCTAGGCTGATTTCAGGCTGATTCCCAGGCAAATTCTAGGCTGATCCTAGGCTGATTCCAGGATAATTCCAAGCTGATTCCAGGCAAATTCCAGGCTGATTCCAGGATAATTCCAGGCTGATTCACAGGTCACTTCCCAGGCTGCTTCCCGGGCTGCTTCCCGAGTCTCTTCCCGGCTCCAGAGGCCTTCCCGTTTCTCCCAGCAGAGGGGGAAAGGGATAACTGTGGATGCAGCGCGGCGCAGGAGGCCGGGATGCCGGCTCGCTTCCCGGGCTGATTCCCGGCGGATTCCCGGCCTGATTCCCAGGCTGATTCCCGGTCGGATTCCCAGCTCCCGGGGCTCCCCAGACCTTCCCGCTTTTCCAGGGCGAGGGGAAAGGGATACCTGTGGATGCAGCGCCGCGCGGGAGGCTCCTTCCCAGGATCCTTCCCTGGTCACTTCCAGGCTGATTCCCAGGTCACTTCCCAGGCTACTTCCAGGCTGATTCCTGGGCTGATTCCCGAACTGATTCCCAGCTCCCAATCGGCTTCTCAGGCCGCTTCCCAGGCTGCTTCCCAAGCTACTTCCAGGCTGATTCCCGGGGCGCTTCCCAACCTGCTTCCCAGGTCACTTCCCAGGTTACTTCCAGGGCTGATTCCAAGCTCGCTTCCCAGCTCCCAGCCGGCTTTTCAGGCCGCTTCCCGAGCTGCTTCCCGGGCCGCTTCCCAACCTGCTTCCCGAACCACTTCCCACTCTGCTTCCCGAGCCGCTTCCCAACCTGCTTCCCAACCTGCTTCCCGGGCCGCTTCCCACGCTGCTTCCCGGTGCGATTCCCGACTCCTGGCCTTATTCCCGGCTTTTCAGGCCGCTCCCCGGGCTGCTTCCCAAGCTACTTCCAGGCTGATTCCCGGGGCGCTTCCCGAGCCGCTTCCCAACCTGCTTCCCGGTGTGATTCCCGACTCCCGGCCTCCTTCCCGGCTTTTCCCGCTTCCCGGCGTGATTCCCGACTCCCGGCCTCCTTCCCGGCTTTTCCCGGCGCCGCGCGCAGCTCGGGGGATGCTGCCGGGAGCTGGGAGATGTCGCGATGCCTCCCCCTCTCCCTGCTCCTCCTTCGGCCTTTTCCCAGCGCTCCTTCCCGAGGTTTTTCCCGCCGGGAATTGCGGGCCCCGCCCCCGCCCCGGCTCAGCCGCGCTCGGGCGGGGATGGATCCATCATCCCGCATCCTTCTTCTCCCATGGATCCCTCCCGCATCCCGCGGGGCCTCGGCAGGGAGCGGGAAGGTGGGGGGTTTTTTTCCCAGGGTTTTGGGGGGGTGGGAATTCGGCCGGGAGAGGGAACGGCCCCGCCTTCCTTAACCCGCTCCTTCCCGCCGCGCTGGAAAAAGTGGGAAGAGCCGCTTCCCGCCGGGATTTGGCCGTGGGAAAACTCACCCAGGGGACCGTGGCTTGGAGCAGCTGATCCATAAATCCTGAAATCCCGGCCTGGGGGCGGTGGGAAGGGAACCGTCCAGGCAGAGGGGGTCGGGAATAAAGTCATGGATAAAGCAGGGTTGCTTTCCCAGTTTCCCACCTGTGGCAGTGGGAAGCCATTCCCTGTGTCCTGCCATTCCAGGCCCTGATCCCAAATCCCTCTCCAGCTCTCCTGGAGCCCCTGCAGGCTCTGGAAGGGGCTCCCAGCTCTCCCTGGATCCTTCCCTGCTCCAGCCTGGCCATTCCCAGCTCTCCCAGCCTGGATCCAGAGCCTGACATTGGATCCATGCCCAGCCCAACTCCTCTCTGGGAAGGAGTTCCGGGAACAAGGGGGGGTTCCCTGGGAATCTCGGCACTCAGGGAAGGGTCTCCCTTCCCCTTTCCCGCCTTTTCCATCCCCACATTCCATAAAAACCCCTCTGGGTGGATCCTGAGTGTCCTTCATCCTGGAATGGGTTGGGTGGGAAGGGATTTTCAGGATCATCCCATTCCATGTTCAGGGACAAGTCCCGCTATCCCAGGGGATCCAACCCGGCCTGGGACACTTCAGGGATCCAGGGGCAGCCACAGCTTCCCTGGGAATTCCAGCCCAGCCGGGAATCCCTTCCCAACCTACCCCCGCCAGGCTCGGAGTCGGCCCCCCTACATCCCCTTTTCCTTCCTTTCCCCCCCCAAAACTCCCCAAATCCCAAGGAATCCTCTCCAGAAATTCGCTCCCCCTCTTCCCCGCGTTCCAGCTGCTCCTCTTGTGCCTCTGGATGCGGAAAATCAGGAAAGAGGAGCCCTCCCCGTGGGAAGCCGGGAAGTGACATCCAAGGAGTTTTCCATGCCAGGGATCCTCAGAGGGGGTAAAATTCCCTCGGGATTGGGATCTGGATCCGGATCCGGTGGCAGGGCCGGCTCTGGAATCCTGGAGGCCAGCCAGGCTCCATCCCATCCCATCCCATCCCTGTATCCCATCCCATCCCATCCCATCCCTGTATCCCATCCCATCCCTGTATCCCATCCCATCCCATCCCATCCCTGTATCCCATCCCTGTATCCCATCCCATCCCATCCCATCCCATCCCTGTATCCCATCCCATCCCATCCCATCCCATCCCATCCCATCCCATCCCATCCCATCCTGTATCCCATCCCATCCCTGTATCCCATCCCATCCCATCCCATCCCTGTATCCCATCCCATCCCACCCCTGTATCCCATCCCAAGCCTCTGGAATCCCCTCTCCAAGTCCATTCCCAAGGTCCCTTCTCCCCCTTCTCCCCCCGGAGATTCCCAGGAACGGGAATTTGGGAACAAAGCAGGAACAGCTCCCGAAGCTCCCTTTGGATCCCGATGGGATTTTAATGGACAGAAAGAAACCCAAAATTCAGGAATTCTGGGAAGGGAAATGCGAGGGATCAGCTCCAAACCCGCCCCTGATCCAGGGAAAATTCCAGGAGAAACCCCCAAAATTCCACATTTCCAGGAGAAACCCCACAAAAATTCCACATTTCCAGGAGAATCCCCCCTCAAATTCCACATTTCCAGGAGAAAACCCAAAATATTCCATATTTCCAGGAGAAACGGCCCCAAAATTCCAGAATAAACCCCCCAAAATTCCAGATTTCCAGGAAACCCCAAATTCCAAATTTCCAGGAGAAACCCCAAGAAATCCCAGGGGAACTCCCCAAAATTCCAGGAACCCCCCCCTAAATTTCCAGGAAAAAACCCCCAAAATTCCAGATTTCCAGAAGGAACACCCCACCAGATTCCAGATTTCCAGGACAGACACCCCAAAATTCCAAGAGAAACCCCCCCAAAATTCCAGATTTTTGGGAGAGACCCCAAAAAATCCCGCCCCTCCCCAAAATTCCACATTTCCGGGAGAAACCCCCCAAATTCCAGATTTCCAGGAAAAACACCCCCCCAGAATTCCAGATGTCCAGGAGAACCCCCTCCAAAATTCCACGAGAACCCCCCCAAAATTCCACATTTCCAGGAGAAACCCCCCAGAATTCCAGATTTCCAGGAGACCCCCTCCCCCAAATTCCTGATTTTCTCTCGGCTTCCACAGCAGCCAGGGATCCAGGGATGCTCCAGGACCCCTCTCCCATCCCTGTATCCCATCCCTGTATCCCATCCCTGTATCCCATCCCTGTATCCCATTCCTGTATCCCATCCCTGTATCCCACCCCTGTATCCCATCCCTGTATCCCATCCCTGTATCCCATCCCTTTATCCCATCCCATCCCATCCCTGTATCCCATCCCATCCCATCCCTGTATCCCATCCCATCCCAGTATCCCATCCCTGTATCCCATCCCAGTATCCCATCCCTGTATCCCATCCCAGTATCCCATCCCTGTATCCCATCCCAGTATCCCATCCCTGTATCCCATCCCAGTATCCCATCCCAGTATCCCATCCCCGTATCCCATCCCTGTATCCCATCCCAGTATCCCATCCCTGTATCCCATCCCATCCCATCCCTGTATCCCATCCCTGTATCCCATCCCTTCCCATCCCATCCTTCCCTTTTTTCCCTACTTGAGGTTCTCGAGCAGGCCTTGAAATCCCGGGGGTTCTCCCGGTTTTTTGGATCCCTCCCAGATCTTTTTCCCGTTTTTTTCCCTACTTGAGGTCCTTGAGCAGCACCTCCACACGTTCAAATCTGGGGGTTCTCCCAGATTTTTTCCCCATTTTTTCCTGGTTTTTCTCCCTCTCTGAGGTTCTCGAGCAGCGCCATCCGTGTGTTCAAATCCCGGGGGTTCTCCTGAGTTTTTTTCCCAGTTTTTTCCCCTTTATTTCCCCTACTTGAGGTTCTCGAGCAGCGTCATCCATGTATTCAAATCCCGGGGGTTCTCCTGAGTTTTTTTCCCCTTTTTTTTCCCAGTTTTTTCCCCTTTTTTTCCTCCTACTTGAGGTTCTTGAGCAGCTCTGTCCGTGTATTCAAATCCCGGGGGTTCTCCTAGATTTTTTTCCCTTTTTTTCTCCCTACTTGAGGTTCTTGAGCAGCTCTGTCCGTGTGTTCAAATCCCGGGGGTTCTCCTGAGTTTTTTTCCCATTTTTTTTCCCCTCCTTTCCCCTACTTGAGGTTCTTGAGCAGCGCCATCCAGGTGTTCAAATCCCGAGGGTTCTCCTGAGTTTTTTCCCCTTTTTTTCCCAGTTTTTTCCCTTTTTTTTCCCTCTACTTGAGGTTCTCGAGCAGCGTCATCCGTGTGTTCAAATCCGAGGGGTTCTCCCGTTTTTTTTCCCGTTTTTTCCCATTTTTCCCCCTACTTGAGGTTCTTGAGCAGCTCTGTCCGTGTGTTCAAATCCCGGGGGTTCTCCCAGATTTTTTTCCCCCTTTTTCCCTTTTTTCCCCCTACTTGAGGTTCTCGAGCAGCCCCATCCAGGTGTTCAAATCCCGGGGGTTCTCCTGAGTTTTTTTCCCAGTTGTTTTTCCCGTTTTTTCCCGTTTTCCCCCCCTACTTGAGGTTCTTGAGGAGGGCGGTGCGTGCGTTGACCACGGCCTTGAAGGCGTCCTCGCTGCCGGGGGCCACGCACTTGTCCGGGTGCAGCAGCACGGCCAGGCGCCGGTACGCCTTCGTCACCTCCTCCCTATGGAAAACAACGCGTTCCCAGGGTTCCTGGAATTCCCAACATTCCCAGAATTGTGCCAAATCATGTTCCTGGTGTGCCCAGTCCCAGGGATTAGGGAATGTCCAGTTCAACCCTTGGGATTCTGGTAGGCCTTCGTCACCTCCTCCCTGCGGAAAACACGCCATTCCCGGTGATCCCAGAATTCCCAGCATTCCCAGAATTGTGCCCAACTGCGTTCCCAGCGGGCCCAGTCCCTGGGATTAGGGAATCTCCACTGAGAACCCTGGGATTCTGGTACGCCTTCGTCACCTCCTCCCTATGGAAAACACACCATTCCCAGGGTTCCTGGAATTCCCAACATTCCCAGAATTGTGCCCAGCCGCATTCCCAGCATGCCCAGTTCAACCCCTGGGATTAGGGAATCTCCAGTGAGACCCCTGGGATTCTGGTACGCCTTCGTCACCTCCTCCCTGCGGAAAACACGCCATTCCCGCTGAGCCTGGGATTCCCAGCATTCCCAACATTCCCAGAATTGCGTCCCAGAGTGCGGGGAAATGTCCAGTGCACCCAGTCCCTGGGATTGGGGAATGTCCACTGAGACCCCTGGGATTCTGGCAGGCCTTGGTCACCTCCTCCCTGCGGAAAACAACGCATTCCCAGGGTTCCTGGAATTCCCAACATTCCCAGAATTGTGCCTAGCCACATTCCCAGCATGCCCAGTTCAACCCCTGGGACTAGGGAACGTCCACTGAGACCCCTGGGATGAAGGGAATCTCCAGTTCAAACCCTGGGATTCTGGTAGGCCTTGGTCACCTCCTCCCTTTTCTTCCATCCATTTTTTTTTTTTTTGTGGGAATATTCTGTCCCGCCCCTGACCTGGTGGCTCCGGGTTTGAGTGCCAGCATGTCCCAGCTGTCCTTGCTGTTGCGGATCCTGCGGATGGCGTCCGCCTGCTCCTTGGTGAACGCCAGCCCGGAGCCGCCGGGAGGGCGCTTCCCGCCGTTCTCACACAGATCCACGATGGCTGAGTAGAACGTCTGGGAATAACAGGAATGGATGATTAGGGAATGTCCAGGGTAATCCCTGGGATTAGGGAATGTCCAGGGCGCTTCCCGCCGTTCTCACACAGCTCCACGATGGCCGAGTAGAACGTCTGCAATGAAGGGAATAAATGATCAATCTCTGGGATTAGGGAATGTCCAGGGCGCTTCCCGCCGTTCTCACACAGATCCACGATGGCTGAGTAGAACGTCTGGAATGAGGGGAATAAATGATTAATCTCTGGGATTAGGGAATGTCCAGGGTAATCCCTGGGATTAGGGAATGTCCAGGGCACTTCCCGCCGTTCTCACACAGCTCCACGATGGCTGAGTAGAACGTCTGGGAATGAGGGGAATAAATGATTAGGGAATGTCCAGGGCGCTTCCCGCCGTTCTCACACAGATCCACGATGGCAGAGTAGAACGTCTGGGAATAACAGGAATGGATGATTAATCTCTGGGATTAGGGAATGTCCAGGGCGCTTCCCGCCGTTCTCACACAGATCCACGATGGCTGAGTAGAACGTCTGGAATGAGGGGAATGGATGATTAATCTCTGGGATTAGGGAATGTCCAGGGCGCTTCCCGCCGTTCTCACACAGATCCACGATGGCAGAGTAGAACGTCTGGGAATAACAGGAATGGATGATTAATCTCTGGGATTAGGGAATGTCCAGGGCGCTTCCCGCCGTTCTCACACAGCTCCACGATGGCAGAGTAGAATGTCTGGAATGAGGGGAATAAATGATTAATCCCTGGGATTAGGGAATGTCCAGGGCGCTTCCCGCCGTTCTCACACAGATCCACGATGGATGAGTAGAACGTCTGGGAATAACAGGAATGGATGATTAGGGGATGTCCAGGGTAATCCCTGGGATTAGGGAATGTCCAGGGCGCTTCCCGCCGTTCTCACACAGCTCCACGATGGCAGAGTAGAACGTCTGGAATGAGGGGAATGGATGATTAGGGCATGTCCAGGGTAATCCCTGGGATTAGGGAATATCCAGAGAAACCCCTGGGATTAGGGAATATCCAGGGTAACCTCTGGATGAGCAATCCTGAGGATTCCAGCCCCTTGGATCCATCCCCATTCCCTCTGGTTGAGGAATCCTGGCTATTCCAGCCCCTTGGATCCATCCCCATTCCCTCTGGATGAGGACTCCTGGCTATTCCAGCCCCTTGGATCCACCCCCAATCCCTCTGGATGAGGACTCCTGGCTATTCCAGCCCTTGGATCCATCCCCAATCCCTCTGGTTGAGGAATCCTGGCTATTCCAGCTCCTTGGATCCATCCCCAATCCCCCTGGATGAGGAATCCTGGCTATTCCAGCCCCTTGGATCCATCCCCAATCCTCTGGATGACGGCTATTCCTGGATCATTCCAGCCCCTTGGGATCCATCCCCATATCCCTCTGGATGAGGACTCCTGGCTATTCCAGCCCTTGATCCATCCCCAATCCCTGGATGAGGACTCCTGGCTATTCCAGGCCCTTGGATCCATCCCCATCCCCCCTGGTTGAGGAATCCTGGCTATTCCAGGCCCTTGGATCCATCCCCAATCCCTCTGGTTGAGGAATCCTGGCTATTCCAGCCCCTTGGATCCATCCCCATTCCCTGTGGATGAGGAATCCTGGCTATTCCAGCCCCTTGGATCCATCCCCATTCCCTCTGGATGAGGACTCCTGGCTATTCCAGCCCCTTGGATCCATCCCCATTCCCCTGGCTGAGGACTCCTGGCTATTCCAACCCCTTGGATCCATCCCCATCCCCCTGGATGAGGAATCCTGGCTATTCCAGCCCCTTGGATCCATCACCATTCCTCTGGATGAGGAATCCTGGCTATTCCAGCCCCTTGGATCCATCCCCAATCCCCCTGGATGAGGAATCCTGGCTATTCCAGCCCCTTGGATCCATCCCCAATCCCCCTGGATGAGGACTCGTGGCCATCCCTGCTCTCCAGGCCCTTTTCCCGTGGCCATTCCCACCTGGAACATCTCGTTGATGCCCTCTCCGGTCTGTGCCGAGGTCTCAAAGTAGAGGAACCCTCTGCTCTCGGCCCAGAGCCGGCCCTCGCTCTCGTCCACGCTCCGGTGCTTGGCTGAGTCCACCTGGATCCCGGGAAAAATCCCCAAGGAAAAGGCCCCGCTGCTTTTGTCCCACAGAAACATTCCCAAAGCCCCTCTTGTCCCTCACAACCATTCCCAAACCCCTCTTGTTCCCCACAACCATTCCCAAATCCCCATTTTTCCCTCATAAACATTCCCAAATCCCCATTGTTTTGCTCACAACCATTCCCAAATTCCCCATTTTTCCCACAGAAACATTCCCAAAACCCCTCTTGTTCCTCAAAACCATTCCCAAATCCCCATTTTTCCCTCATAAACATTCCCAAATTCCTTTTGTTCCACACAAACGTTCCCAAATCCCTGTTGTTCCTCACAAACATTCCCAAACCCCTCTTGTTCCTCATAAACATTCTCAAATCCCCATATTTCCCTCATAAACATTCCCCAATCCCTCTTGTTCCTCATAAACATTCCCCAATCCCTCTTGTTCCTCACAAACATTCCCAATTTCCCCATTTTACCCTCAGAAACATTCCCCAAACCCTCTTGTTCCTCACAAACATTCCCAAATCCCTCTTGTCCCTCACAAACATTCCCAAATCCCCATTTTCCCCTCATAAACATTCCAAATCCCCCTTCTTCCTCACAAATGTTTCCAAATCCCCATTTTTCCCTCACAGACATTCCCAAATCCCCATTTTTCCCTCATAAACATTCCGCAATTCTTCTTGTTCCTCACAAACATTCCCAAATCCCCATATTTCCCTCATAAACATTCCCAAATCCCCATTTTCCCCTCACAACCATTCCCAAACCCCTCTTGTTCCTCACATACTTTCCCAAATCCCCGTTTGTCCTTCATAATCATTCCCAAATCCTTCTTGTCCCTCACAAACATTCCCAAATCCCCATTTTTCCTTCATAAACATTCCCAAATCCTTCTTGTCCCTCACAAACATTCCCAAATCTCTCTTGTTCCTCACAAACATTCCCAAATCTCCATTGTTTTGCTCACAAACATTCCGAAACCTCTCCTGCTCCTCACAACCATTCCCCAACCCCATTTTTCCCCTTAAAAACATTCCCAAATCCCTGTTGTTCCTCACAAACATTCCCAAATCCCCCCTTTTCCCTCATAAACATTCCCCAATCCCTCTTGTTCCTCACAAACATTCCCAAATTCCCCATTTTGCCCTCAGAAACATTCCCCAAACCCTCTTGTTCCTCACAAACATTCCCAAATCCCTCTTGTCCCTCACAAACATTCCCAAATCCCCATTTTCCCCTCATAAACATTCCAAATCCCCCTTCTTCCTCACAAATATTGCCAAATCCCCATTTTTCCCTCACAAACATTCCCAAATCCCCATTTTTCCCTCACAAACATTCCCCAAATCCCCTCTTGTCCCTCAAAAACATTCCCAAATCACCATTTTTTCCCTCACAAACATTCCCAAATCTCTCCATTGTCTCCGCTCTACAACCATTCCCAAACCTCCATTTTTCCCTCACAACAATTCACAAACCCCTCTTGTTCCTCACAAATATTCCCAAATCCCCATTTTCCCCTCACACCCATTCCCAAAACCCTCTTGTTCCTCACAAACGTTCCCTAATCCCCATTTTTCCCTCACAAACATTCCCAAATCCCCATTTTTCCCTCACAAACATTCCCCAGTCCCCATTTTTCCCCTCACAAACATTCCCAAATCCCCATTTTTTCCCTCACAAACATTCCAAATCCCCACTTGTCCCTCACAAACATTCCCAAACCCCCGTTTTCCCCTTACAAACATTCCCCAATCCCCATTTTCCCCTTAAAAACATTCCCAAATCCCTGTTGTTCCTCACAAACATTCCCAAATGCCCATTTTTCCCTTACAAACATTCCCAAATCCCCTTTTTTCCTCACAAACATTCCCAGTCCCCATTTTTCCCTCACAAACATTCCCAAACCCCCATTTTTCCCTCACAACCATTCCCAAACCCCCATTTTTCCCTCACAACCATTCCCCAATCCCCATTTTCCCCTCACAACCATTCCCAAATCCCCATTTTCCCCTCACAACCATTCCCCAATCCCCATTTTTCCCTCAAACCATTCCCAAATCCCCATTTTTCCCTCACAAACATTCCCAAACCCCTCTTGTTCCTCACAACCATTCCCACATACCTCCATTTTTCCCTCACAAACATTCCCAAATCCCTCCCACCCCTCTCCCAGAACACCTTCCCTCCAATCTGCCCCCTCTTCCCGCCTTTCCCAGGCTCCGAATTCCCTCTGGGAACGCCGGGAATCTCCGTGCTCCCCACCTTGTTGGCGCAGACGACGAAGACGACGTTGTCCATGTTCCCGTGGGGGCCCAGCTCCTGCTTCATCTCTGCCAGCCACGAATCCAGGGAGTCGAAGGATTCCTTGGAGCCCACGTCGTACACCAGGAGCACCCCCTGCGTGTCCTTGTAGAACTCGTTCCGGACCTGGAAAACGGGACACCTGCGGCTGGGATACCGGGAATGGCTTCCCATGGACAGAGATGGGGAGGGATTCCCGGCTAGGCTGGAATTCCCAGGGAAGCTGTGGCTGCCCCTGGATCCCTGCAGTGTCCCAGGCTGGGTTGGATCCCCTGGGATAGTGGGAGCTGTCCCTGAACATGGAATGGGATCATCCTGAAAATCCCTCCCCACCCAACCCATTCCAGGATAAAGGACACTCAGGATCCACTCAGAGGAGTTTTTATGGAATGTGGGGATGGCAAAGGCGGGAAAGGGGAAGGGAGACCCTTCCCTGAGTGCCGAGATTCCCAGGAACCCCCTTGTTCCTGGAACTCCTTCCCAGAGAGGAGTTGGGCTGGGCATGGATCCAATGTCAGGCTCTGGATCCAGGCTGGGAGAGCTGGGAATGGCCAGGCTGGAGCAGGGAAGGATCCAGGGAGAGCTGGGAGCCCCTTCCAGAGCCTGCAGGGGCTCCAGGAGAGCTGGAGAGGGATTTGGGATCAGGGCCTGGAATGGCAGGACACAGGGAATGGCTTCCCACTGGGAAAGGGGAGATTGGGGAGGAGATTGGGAAGGGAGGCTGGGCTGGGCTGGAATTCTCAGGAAGCTGTGGCTGCCCCTGGATCCCTGCAGTGTCCCAGGCCGGGTTGGGTCCCCTGGGACAGCGGGATCTGTCCCTGCCCATGGAATGGGATGAGCTTCACGATCCTTTCCCATCCAACCCCTCCCAGCATTCCCTGACGCTGCAGCGAAGGAAACTCACGGAAAACAAATTCCCAAATTTCCCAGTGCCAACCCCAAAGCAAGGTGGATTTTGGGAATGCTGATGGATGCCAAACACTCCCAGGTGGGGTGGGAAAGTTTGGGAAGGGAAGGTTTGGGAAGGTTTGGGAAGGTTTGGGAAGGGAAGGGAAGGGAAGGGAAGGTTTGGGAAGGGAAGGTTTGGGAAGGGAAGGTTTGAGAAGGGAAGGAAGGAAGGGAAGGGAAGGGAAGGGAAGGGAAGGTTTGGGAAGGGAAGGGAAGGTTTGGGAAGGTTTGGGAAGGTTTGGGAAGGGAAGGGAAGGGAAGGGAAGGTTTGGAAGGGAAGGAAGGAAGGTTTGGAAGGTTTGGGGAAGGGAAGGTTTAGGAAGGTTTGGGAAGGTTTGGGAAGGTTTGGGAAGGTCTTAGGAAGGTTTGGGAAGGGAAGGGAAGGTTTGGGGAAGGTTTGGAAGGGAAGGTTTGGGAAGGAAGGTTTGGAAGGTTTGGAGAAGGTTTGGGAAGGTTTGGGAAGGTTTGGGAAGGGAAGGAAGGAAGGAAGGGAAGGGAAGGAAGGGAAGGGGAAGGGAAGGGAAGGTTTAAGGGAAGGAAGGTTTGGGAAGGTTTAGGAAGGTTTGGGAAGGTTTGGGAAGGGAAGGTTTGAAGCTTTGGGAAGGTTTGGGAAGGTTTGGGAAGGTTTGGGAAGGGAAGGTTTGGGAAGGGAAGGGAAGGTTTGGGAAGGGAAGGTTTGGGAAGGGAAGGTTTGGGAAGGGAAGGTTTGGGAAGGTTTGGGAAGGTTTGGGAAGGTTTGGGAAGGGAAGGTTTGGGAAGGAAGGTTTGGGAAGGGAAGGTTTGGGAAGGAAGGTTTGGGAAGGGAAGGGAAGGGAAGGAAGGAAGGGAAGGGAAGGGAAGGGAAGGGAAGGGAAGGGAAGGGAAGGGGCCGTACCTCATAGAAGAAGGGATGTCCCGCCATGTCAAAGATGTTCACCTTGATCTCCCGGTCCCTGATCTGCACCCTGGAAGAGACGCAGGAAACTCGGGAATCATGGAATTGGGCAGCTTGGAAAAGCCCTCTGAGACCATGCCGTGTTCCCAAGGGCCACATCCCCAGGGACTGGGAATCCCTGCAGGGATGGGGAATCCAGCCCTGCCCTGGGAAGTTCATTCCAGTGCCTGACAGCCCTTTCCAGGTGGGAATTGTTCCCAATATCCCACCTGCCCCTCCCCTGGCCCAGCTGGAGGCCGTTCCCTCTCCTCCTGGCCCTTCTTCCCTGGGAATTGGGGACACCCCCGGCTCTCCCCTCCTGCCAGGGAATTGTGGGGCTGGAAAAGCTCCCTCCTGATCCCTCTTTTCCCTGGGATGAGCCCCTTCCCGGCTCCCTCAGCCATTCCCGCTGCTCCAGCCCCTTCCCTGGAAACATTCCAGCCCCCCCAAGCAAAGATCCCAAACCTCCCCCCCCAGGATTTCAGGATCCTCAAGGATCACTCCATCCACAGGGATCGGGAATCCCTGCAGGGCTGGGATTCCACCACTGCCAGGACTGGACAGCCCTTTCCATGCTGGAATCATTCCCAATATCCAACTAAACCTCCCCTGGCCCAGCTGGAGGCCGTTCCCTCTCCCTCCTGGCCCTTCTTCCCTGGGAATTGGGGACCCTCCACCTCCTGAGAATTCCTACCAGGGAATTGTGGAGAGAGCTGGGACAGTGCCAGGATGGCCCAGAATCCTTAGGGATGGCTCAGGATGGAAAATCCCTCTGGAATTCCAGAGTCCAACCAGCCCAGGCCAGCCCTGCCCCGTGTGCCCAAGGGCCACATCCCCAGGGATTGGGAATCCCTGCAGGGATTGGGAATCCAGCCCTGCCATGAGCCCATCCCGGTTTCCCAATCCCCATGCCGTGCCCGTGGCCTCACTTGGTGACGCCGTAGTCGATGCCGATGGTCGCCAGGTACTTGGACACGAACCTCTTCTCGCAGTACCTCTTGATGATGCAGCTCTGGGAAAACAGGAGGGGAGAAAAGTGGGAATGGCCCCAAACAGCCCCATATTCCCAAAAAACACGGAATTCCCAGAGGCTCCTGGATGCTTTAAAGCAGCGCTGGCCACGCCCCTTTGGCCCGGTAGCCAATCAAATGCGATGATACCGAGCATGTCCCGCCCCCTCAGCTGTCAATCATTCTTTTCAGAGCTGTCAATCATTATCTGGAACTGTCAGTCATCCATTCTTCGCCACGCCCCCTCAGCTGTCAATCATCCTCCCCCCCACTGTCAATCATCCCATCGGAGCCGTCAATCATCCTCCCCCGAGCTGTCAATCATCCCCTCTCTACCACGCCCCCTCAGCTGTCAATCATCCCCCTCCACCACGCCCCTTCAACTGTCAATCATCCTCCCCTCTGTCAATCGGAGCTGTCAGTCATCCTCCCACTCCGCCACGCCCCTTCAGCTGTCAATCATCCTCCCCTCTGTCAATCGGAGCTGTCAATCATCCTCCCCGAGCTGTCAATCATCCCCTCAGCCACGCCCCCTCAGCTGTCAATCATCCTCCCCCTCAGCTGTCAATCATCCCCTCAGCCACGCCCCTCAGCTGTCAATCATCCCCAACCCCGCATCCCTTACTCCCACCCTCCCCTCTGATTGGCTCACCCAGCCTCCAGCCCGCCAATCCGCGCCCTCCCTCAGCGCAGCGCCCGCCTCCCCGCGCTTCTCATTGGCCGCCCGGCCCGCCCCTCACCTCCCTCCCGCCAATGGGCGCTCCTCACCTTGCCCACCTCGGCGTTGCCCATGGAGATGACTTTAACGCGCAGCGCCTTGCGCGGCTCCTTCCGCTTCGGCGGGCTGGGCTCCATGGCGGGCCCGGGGCGGGAGGAGCCGCGGGAGGGAGGGAAGGAGGGATGGAGGGAGGGATGGAGGGAGAGGGAGCAGCGCTTCCCCCTCAGCCCTCGCCGCGCCGCTCCGCGCCGCAGCTCTCGCGAGACTTCGGGCTGCGCCCAGCGGCGGCAATGCAGCCCAAGCCCGAGTTCTCGCGAGATTTTTGGGGGGGGGCGCTGATGACCGGCAAGAGGCGCCAGGGGAGTGAAAGGGGGGGTCACGTGGCACGGGGGCTGTCACGCGGACTGGCGCGTGTCGCGTGTCACGTGTCATCTGTCCCCTCGTCATCTGTCCCTTTGTCCATTGTCCCTTTGTCCATTGTCACCTGTCCCGCTGCCACCTGCCCCTTGTCCATTGTCCCTTGTCCATTGTCCCTTATTCATTGTCCCTTATTCATTGTCCCTTTGTCACCTGTCCTTGTCACCTGCCCCTTGTCCATTGTCCCTTATTCATTGTCCCTTTGTCACCTGTGCGCTGTCACCTACCCCTTGTCCCCTGTCCCTTGTCCTTTGTCCCTTCGTCACCTGTCCGCTGTCACCTACCCCTTGTTCATTGTCCCTTGTCCTTTGTCACCTGTCCGCTGTCACCTACCCCTTGTTCATTGTCCCTTGTCCTTTGTCACCTGTCCACTGTCACCTGCCCTTGTCCCTTATTCATTGTCCCTTATTCATTGTCCCCTTGTCCCTTGTCCGCTGTCACCTGTCCCTTGTCCCCTTGTCCATTGTCCCTTGTTCATTGTCCATTGTCCTTTGTCACCTGTCCGCTGTCACCTGCCCCTTGTCCCCTGTCGTTTGTCCTTGTCACCTGTCACCTGTCCCTTGTTCATTGTCCCTTGTCCTTTGTCACCTGTCCGCTGTCACCTACCCCTTGTCCCCTGTCCCTGTCCATTGTCCCCTTGTCCCTTGTCCTTTGTCACCTGTCCACTGTCACCTGTCCCTTGTCCCCTGTCATTTGTCCTTGTCACCTGTCACCTGCCCCTTGTCCCCTTGTCCTTTGTCACCTGCCCCTTGTCCTTTGTCACCTGTCCACTGTCACCTGTCCCTTGTCCCCTTGTCCATTGTCCCTTATTCATTGTCCCCTGTCCCTTGTCCTTTGTCACCTGTCCACTGTCACCTGCCCCTTGTCCCCTGTCACCTTCCCTTTGTTCATTGTCCCTTGTCCTTTGTCACCTGTCCGCTGTCACCTGCCCCTTGTCCCTGTCTGTCCACTGTCACCTGTCCATTGTCCCTTGTCACCTGTCCACTGTCACCTGTCCCTTGTCCCTGTCATTTGTCCTCTGTCACCTGTCCCTTGTCCCTTGTCCTTTGTCACCTGCACTTGTCCCTGTCCTTGTCCATTGTCCCCTTGTCCCTTGTTCATTGTCACCTGTCCTTGTCCCTTGTCCCTTGTCCATTGTCCCTTATTCTGTCCCTTGTCCATTGTCCTTTGTCACTTGTCCACTGTCACCTGCCCTTGTCCCTGTCATCCTTTGTTCATTGTCCCTTGTCCTTTGTCACCTGTCCGCTGTCACCTGCCCCTTGTCCCCTTGTCCCTTATCACCTGTCCACTGTCACCTGTCCCTGTCCCTTGTCCCTTGTTCATTGTCCCTTGTCACTTGTCCATTGTCCCTTGTCCTTTGTCACGTGTCCCTTGTCACCTGTCCCCAGTCCTTGTCACCTGTCCCCTCGTCCCTCGCCCTTGTCCCTGTCACCTGCCCCTTGTCAATTGTCCCCTGTCCCTTGTCCTTCATCACTTGTCCACTGTCACCTGCCCTTTGTTACCTGTCACTTGTTCCCTGTCCCCTTCCCCTTGTCCCCTGTCCCTGTGCCGTGTTCGTTGCTCCAACCTTTCCTGGGACACTCCAGGGATCCAGGGGCAGCCACAGCTTCCCTGGGAATTCCAGCCCAGCCGGGAATCCCTTCCCAATCTCCCACCCCAATCTCCCCTTTCCCAGTGGGAAGCCATTCCCTGTGTCCTGCCATTCCAGGCCCTGATCCCAAATCCCTCTCCAGCTCTCCTGGAGCCCCTGCAGGCTCTGGAAGGGGCTCCCAGCTCTCCCTGGATCCTTCCCTGCTCCAGCCTGGCCATTCCCAGCTCTCCCAGCCTGGATCCAGGATCCCTCCCCCCTCCTCCAGCCCTGGAGCTGCATCCCAGGCTCCCAAAATCTCAGGATGTGCTGCTGCCAGGAGATCCAGACACATCCAGGGTGGCTCAGCCACTGCTGGAAAATCCCAGGGAATGACACAGGGATGGAAAATCCCAGGGAAGGAAACAGGGATGGAAAATCCCAGGGAATGACACAGGGATGGAAAATCCCAGGGAAGGAAACAGGGATGGAAAATCCCAGGGAATGACATAGGGAGGGTTTGGCTTCCCTGGGAAAAAAAAACTAGGGACAACACCCAGGAAAGCCCTGAGAGCACCTGGAGAGGGGGGGGAAATCTGGGAATCTGGGAGATTCCTCCCTGGTTTTTCAAGGGGGAACTGAGGCAGGGAAAGAGCTGCGGCTCCCAACGTGGTTAGTCCTGGAAATGAGGGGGATTTATGGAATCACCGGGGCTGGAAAAGTTGGAATCCGACCCCTCACCCCATGTGCCCAAGGGATAAATCCCCAGGGATTGGGAATCACTGCAGGGATGGGGAATCCAGCCCTGCCCTGGGGATTCATTCCAATGTTTAACCACCATTTCCATGTGGGAATCATTCCCAATGTCCCAGCTGGAGGCCGTTCCCTCTCCCTCCTGGCCCTTCTTCCCTGGGAATTGGGGATCCAGGAATCCTGAGAATTCCTGCCAGGGAATTGTGGAGAGAGCTGGGACAGTGCCAGGATGGCCCAGAATCCTCAGGGATGGCTCAGGATGGAAAATCCCTCTGGAATTCCGGAGTCCAACCAGCCCAGGCCAGCCCTGCCCCGTGTGCCCAAGGGCCACATCCCCAGGGATTGGGAATCCCTGCAGGGATTGGGAATCCAGCCCTGCCCTGGGAAGTTCATTCCAGTGCCTGACAGCCCTTTCCAGGTGGGAATTGCTCCCAATATTCCCTCTCCTCCTGGCCCTCATTCCCTGGGAATTGGGGAATCGTGGGGGCTGGAAAAGCTCCCTCCTGATCCCTCTTTTTCCCTGGGATGAGCTTTCCCATCTCCCTCCACCATTCCCGCTGCTCCAGCCCCTTCCTGGCCTCATTCCAGCCCTTCCCTGTCCTTGGAGCCAGAGCTGATCCCGGGATTTTGTCTCCTCTCCAGTGACTCAGCAAAGATTCCACCCCCCTGGGGACAAGGACAGAGCTCCAGGTCCCCTTTCCCAGGGATTTGGAGGCTCCAAACCTCGGGAAATCCGCTCACATTCCCGAATTTTTAGGTTGGGCCTCTTCCCCCACCCCGGGGTTGGAAGGTGTAATTAGGGAATGCTGGAGAGTGTAATTAGGGAATGTTGGAAGGTGTAATTAGGGAATGCTGGAGGTGTAATGAGGGAATGTTGGAGGTGTAATTAGGGAATGCTGGAGGTGTAATTAGGGAATGCTGGAAGGTGTAATTAGGGAATGTTGGAGGGTGTAATTAGGGAATGCTGGAGGTGTAATTAGGGAATGCTGGAAGGTGAAATTAGGGAATGTTGGAGGTGTAATTAGGGAATGTTGGAGGTGTAATTAGGGAATGTTGGAGGTGTAATTAGGGAATGTTGGAGGTGTAATTAGGGAATGCTGGAGGGTGTAATTAGGGAATGCTGGAGGTGTAATTAGGGAATGGTGGAAGGTGTAATTAGGGAATGGTGGAAGGTGTAATTAATTAGGGAATGCTCCTTCCCTCGGGATAACGGGGCCTTAATTAAACCATCAGAGCTGTTAATTGGGCCAAGGATTCCCTGGATGGGGAGGAGCCATCCCGAGGGATCGGCCAATTCCATGGGAATAGCGGCACTCACGGGGACAGGGATGGGAATCCTGGGAATTCCTGGGTGTTCCCAGCCCCCCAAAAACAGCTGGAAAATGGATTTGATTGGGAATTAGGGGTGTGATGGTGATGAGGGAAGAAGTGGCCAATCCCTCATCCCACACAAATCCCCTGGGAATACTCTGGGAATAACCCCCCCACACCACTATGTGGGGTTGGTTTGAAGCCCCCCCAGTCCCTTGTAGGGACCCCCCAGTCCCTTTTAGGGTCGAATTTAAGACCCCCAACCCTTTATAGGGGCCCCCAGTCCCTTTTGGGGTCGAATTTAAGACCCCCCAGCCCCTTTTAGGGACCCCCCAGTCCCTTTTAAGGCCCCCCAGCCCCTTTTGGGGTCAAATTTAAGACCTCCCAGCCCCTTTTGAGGTCGAATTTAAGACCCTCCGTCCCTTTTAGGCCCCTCCCAACCCCTTTTAGGGACCCCCCAGTCCCTTTTGGGGTCGGATTTAAGATCCCCCAGCCCCTTTTAGGAACCCCCCAGCCCCTTTTGGAGCCCCCTCAGCTCCTCTTAGGGCCCCCCAGCCCCTTTTAGGGTCGAATTTAAGACCCCCCAGCCCCTTTTGGGGTCGAATTTAAGACCCCCCAGCCCCTTTTAGGGCCCCCCAGTCCCTTTTGGGGTCAAATTTAATACCTCTCAGCCCCTTTTAGGGCCCCCCAGTTCCTTTTAGGGTCGAATTTAAGATCCCCCTAACTCCTTTTAGGAAACCCCGAGCCCCTTTTAGGGCCCCCCAGTCCCTTTTGGGGTCGAATTTAATACCCCCCAACCCCTTTTAGGAACCCCCAGTCCCTTTTAAGGCCCCCCAGTCCCTTTTAGGGCCCCCCAGCCCCTTTTGGGGTCGAATTTAAGACCCCTCCGTCCCTTTTAGGGCCCCCCAGCCCCTTTTAGGGTCGAATTTAAGACCCCCCAACCCCTTTTGGGGTCGAATTTAAGACCCCCCAACCCCTTTTAGGAACACCCAAACCCCTTTTAGGGGCTCCCAGTCCCTTTTAGGGTCGAATTTAAGATCCCCCAACCCTTTATAGGGGCCCCCAGTCCCTTTTAGGGTCCAATTTAAGACTCCCCAGTCCCTTTTAGGGACCCCCCAGCCCCTTTTAGGGTCGAATTTAAGACCCCCCAGCACCTTTTAGGGACCCCCCAACCCCTTTAAGGGCC